GATTAAGTTGTTTTTGCACGTTACTTACTACTCTTTGTGCTTTCCTGTCTGCACCCTTGTGACAGACACACAGTTAGCCAGCTACCCAACAGACACTTCTTCCCGTCTAACTTGCTAACAGAATCCCAGCTGTTCCTGGGCAGCAAGCAGCCTGCCTAAGCCTAGGAAATGATACACGATGCACGTTATACGTAAACCGTGGCAATCCCCCTCCCGAGCCATACTCATTGCCTCGTCTCTCCTGTGAGTGGGGGCAGTCTTGTGAAACAGTTCAAGCAAATGAGACTTAAGAGAAAATCGGATGGGGGCCGGCCCCGTGGCTTAGTGGTTAAGTGCGCGCGCTCTGCTGCCAGAGGCCCGGGTTCGGATGCCGGGCGCGCACCGACGCACCGCTTCTCCGGCCATGCTGAGGCCGCGTCCACATACAGCAACTAGAAGGATGTGCAACTATGATATACAACTGTCTACTGGGGCTTTGGGAGGATAAAAAATAAATAAATAAAATCTTTAAAAAAAAGAGAGAGAAAAGCGGATGGAAGCTTCTGGGAAGGATTCTGTTCTCTGTGAGGCAAGCACAGGAGGAGGGACTGCCTGTTCTATCCCCTTCCTCCTTCTTACCTTGAAAAGGGATGTGCTGCCTAAAGCTGTGGCAGCCATTTTATGACCTAGTGGCAATAAGTGAAGATGCACAAGATGGCAGAGTCAAAGGTTAGAGAGAACCTGGGGCCTTCAGGACATTGCTGAACAGCTGAACCAGCCCTGAGACCACCTACCCCTGAAATTCTCTCAACTACACAATAATAAACAGCTTACGGTTTAAGCTTCTGTTAGTGGCTTTCTGTTAAGTACAGCTGAAAGCAGTCCTGAATTGTAAAAAATTTTTTCTGCGGCACGTTATGATTTTCCTGCCCAATCTCACTCCATTACAAACATATATTCTGCTTATACTACACGCAACTAAAAAGTGACAGGATTATATTTCTCCTGAATAGTTACTAGAGACCAATTCAATTACTTTATAGTTATAGTAGCTCAACTCTACGACCCTATTAAAATAAATGTCATCAGTAGAGAAAATATTAGGGAAGAAAACACGATTTAGGGCCGGCTCCGTGGCTTAGCGGTTAAGTGCGCGCGCTCTGATGCTGGCGGCCCGGGTTCGGATCCCGGGCACGCCCCAAGGCACCACTTCTCCGTCCAACGCGAGGCCGAGTCCCACGTACAGCAACTAGAAGGATGTGAACCTATGACATACAACTGTCTACTGGGGCTTTGGGGGGAAAAAATGAATAAATAAAATCTTTAAAAAAAAAAAAAGAAAACACGATTTAGAATCACGTTTGTTCTTGATTACTGACTTTGATCCTTCCTTCTGCCATCTCAAATCCTCTGTGGAAATAAGTACCACATAAACAGCAAACTGATAAATGCTATCTATTTGAATTAAACTCTTCTGTCTCCTTTAAGCATAACGGCTTGTTAGTAAAAAATAAAGTATTAAAATTTCATTTTTGAATTTTCAGCCTCAAACCTGGCCCAGCTGGTATTTTCATACACTGATGCCTGTAACCAAAGCTCAGAGACTTACCAGCACTACATTAAACTCATGGCATTGTTGTTTTCTCCTACTATAACTGAATATATGGGTTATAATAATAGAATTTGAATACTGGTAAGACATTAGAAGTCAGACTACCCAGCACAGCTATTTAAAAAGTTACTTTACCTATATGTGGACATGCATTTAAAATATATGTTCATCTCCATGACTCTTCTCGCACCCATCTCTGCACCTCCCTGGGCCCCACTCTTTCCGTGTCCAGTGCCCGGGAGAACCCAATTCACCCCACAGTCTTCCTCTCAGCCCTCCGATGCTTATGTCCACTTAGTCCACAGCCCTGTGCTGCCTATAGCTGTTCCCATGATCACTAATGTCTACTCCGTTCACTCTTCTTGCACAATTTCTTCTTTCTAACCTCATGTCTCGTCATCCCCCAGCTTCCTCAAAAAATACGGTCAACAGCCTCCCTAGTTGGAAGGAACAAACAACCGCCATGGGCATCCGCCATTTCCTCTCAAGCGTGTTACCATCTCTCCCCTGCTGTCATTCAAGGAAAAAATGGCTGAGTACTCCTGATTTTGAGCACAGATATATACGATATGAACACATATATATATGTGCATATATGTGGGCCCAGCACTTTCTTATTTAAAAAAAAAAAAAAACACACACACAAGGAGAGCAAATGTTCATTTTTTTCCTTAAGTTGTAAAGTGCTTTTGCCAACTCCTCCCTTCCGTCTACCCTTTACCCACCACTCTCTCATGTTATATGACCTCCCACCCATTGTGGTCTCTGGGTCACATGGCTCATCCCACACACTAGCATACTCCCTTGTTCCTGACAAATTAACCAGTTAAGATGGAACCATCACTTGATTGATATAGATGTCTGTGTCAGACTGCTCTAAAAATATGTTAGGACAGGGCACTAGTTTATATCAGCATTCTCAAAGCGTGGGCCAGAGACCCCTGGGGGGAGGCCCCCGAGAGCCCTTCAGGGGATCCACAGCGTCACAACTATTTTCAGTAATACAAAGATGTTATCTGCCTTTTTCATTCTCATTCTTTCACGAGGGTACAACACTGCATTCAGATACGTGGCGTGTGACGATAATGTATCACACTGACAGCTAATGAAACATATGCTTGCATATTGTTGGTTTTTAGAATTTCCTAAGGTAGCAAGTTGAAGGTACAAATATCCACGTTTTCAGAAATTAAGTCAGTGTGTTCTCACTGAGAACTTCTATGTACCCAGCGATAGCAATCTTTGGTTATATCTGCTATAATCTTCATAACCTCATTATCATCCAAAGAATTCGTTGTGAGTTTAAAGAAAAAGAAATTGAATGTTTTAAACATTGACATGACGAGCTCTTTAAAAGCAAAAGATTATTTTCAAATTAGAATTTAAAAAGCCACTGAAGCACCATACAGGGAATATTATCAGACTGCACTGGTTGGAGCGGTGCACACAATAGCTGAGAAACTACTAAAGCTTTGTATGGTTGACACTGATGAATGTCCACTGGATGAAAAGTCAGTAAAAGAAATCACGGCAATGCCACTTATGAATGACGCAGTATCTCACTGAACTAGAGATTTTGCTGCAAACATGAACTACAAGTTAAAATCTCACCTGAAGGACTGTACTTTTGCTTTATAAGTGGTCAAATCCACAGATGCGGGTGGACTTAGTATTTTTATTATTTAAGTATCCAAACCAATTAATGATTGAGGGAGGTATTCTTTTATGTGAATGCTTGGCAACAAATACAAGTGCTGCTGAATTATTCAAAGTTTTAAATAACTTTTTTGAATCTCACAATTTATCCTAAAACAACCATGTTGATATCTGCTCTGATGGTACAAAAGCAACGGTGGGTAAAACTGCTGGTTCTGTAGCATGAATCAAGGCAGGGGTACAAAACTGTACTAGCAATCATTATATTCTTCACTGTATATCAATAATTTTAAAAAAGCAGTTTCACTTAACAATGTCCTTGATGAAACAATAAAAGTTATTAATTTTATTAAATCTCACTCTTGAGAACTTGGTCTTTGTAATATTCTGTGTGACGAAATGGGAGTTACACAAAAGCACTTCAGCTACATACCTAACACAATGGCTGTCTTGAGGAAAAGCATTTATGCAATTGTTCGAGTTGTGAGCTAAACTATACACTTTTTTCAGAGAATACAATTTTTGCTTAAAAGAATGACTGGCAGACAACTTACAGTTATTCAGACTTAAGTATTTGGCAGATATTTTCTCTAAAATGAATAAAGTGAGCCTGACACTTCAAGTAAAAAACTGACAGTATCTATTGCCAAAGTAAAATTTGAAACTTTCGAGAGAAAATTAGAATTTTGGAAAACTTGAACTCGACTCCAAAATCTTACAAGATTTTTTTGATGAGATTAATGGTCATATTAATGACTGTGATTTGTTAAATATTGTGTAATCAAATATGTCAACATTTAAAAGATCTGCATAACTCAGTAAACCATTATTTTTCAAATGACCAATGTATGATGTTACAAAATCACATACAGGGCAAAGATCTTTTCAAAGTGCAAGATGGACCAATAGATTTTTTTTTTTTTTAAGATTTTATTTATTTATTTTATTTCCCCCCAAAGCCCCAGTAGATAGCTGTATGTCATAGCTGCACATCCTTCTAGTTGCTGTATGTGAGACACGGCCTCAGCATGGCGGGAGAAGCGGTGCGTCGGTGCACGCCCGGGATCCGAACCCGGGCCGCCAGCAGCGGAGTGCGTGCACTTAACCACTAAGCCATGGGGCCGGCCCGGACCAATAGATTTTTAATGTTACAGAGTACAAAAAATTCACTGATATGGTTTCAGATTCAACATGACAACCAACCTTTAAGAATCTACCATTTGTTGCATTTTGACGTAACAAAGAATATTCACAATTACATGAAAAGACATTAAAATATTCCACCCTTTTTCAACTATGTATCTGTGTATGGTCGGGTTTTCTTCATACGCTTCAAACAAAACAACATATCACAATAGATTGAATATAAAAGGAGTTATGAACATTCAGCTGTCTTCTATTAATACATTAAAGAGAGTGGCAAAATGTAAAGCAATGCCATGCTTCTCACTACATTTTTTGTTTTGGAATACTTTTTTCATAAAAGTATGTTATTTATGTTAACTTTTAATGATTTTGTTATTTTTAAATGAATAAATACTTCAAGTATTTCTCAGTTTTAACTTCTAATATGGCAAATATTGATATAGTCCACATAAACAAAAGATCTTGAATCTTTTGCTTGAAATTATTGAATCCTCAATAATTTCTAAGAGTGCAAAGGTGTCCTGACACCAAAATGTTTGAAAATTGCTGTTTTATAACATCACAAAAAAGAGCACTTATAAGACTGTGTATATAAAAGAATGGGCACCTGAGAAGGAGTCAGCAGATTTCAGCTCCAGTTCTAGCACCACTTCTTACTTGCTTTGGGATTTGGATCAATTACTCAGTCTCTCTAAGGTCTTAGTTTCCTCATCTGTAAAATGAGTAATTCATGTCTCGTCCTGAGGATAAAAGACCAAATATATCAAAGCAATTCATAAACTACAGGTATGTTATTATTACAAGGTCTCAAAGTTAAGAGTTTTAAATACTGCTTGTGACCATATTTCTACAAAATTCTCCCTATTCTTAAAAATTTATTACTAAAAGCAGAACTTACAGAAAACGCAAAGTGGAGATTTTTGTAATTTTATTTTATTTATTTTTCCACCAAAGCCCCAGTAGATAGTTGTACGTCATAGCTGCACATCCTTCTAGTTGCTGTATGTGGGACGCCACCTCAGCATGGCCGGAGAAGCGGTGCGTCGGTGTGCATCCGGGATCCGAACCTGGGTCGCTAGCAGCGGAGCGTGCACACTTAACCGCTAAGCCACGGAGCCGGCCCAAAGTGGAGATTTTTGATTAGCCAAATAGCTCCAATGTCCAACCACATATTTTACCGTATTAAGTTTCTTCCCCTACAGTTATAATTGATAACATATTTTAACTAATTATTATGGATATTTCCAAGGATACACAAAAGTACAGAAATAGTAACAACCCCAATGTACCCATCACTCAGCTTCAACAATTATAAAAAATTTGCCAATATTGTTTTATTTATTTCCCATTTGTGTGTGTTGGTGCCTATCCTAAAGTTTTTTTTAAAACAAATATTAGGCATCATTTCATTTTGCCTATAAATACCTCCATATGTATCTTTAACAGATGAGAATTTTTAAACGTGACAACAATACCATTAATATAGATAAAACTTTATGGTTATAATTCTTAAATATCATCTAACACATACTCTGTTTTAATTTCCTGATTGTCTACAAAAAAAGATCTTTGTTAGTTTTTAGTTGGTTTGCATTATCAAAATATCATTCTTACCAGTTCATTTTCAAGTGAACACAAGATTTTTACCTAAAGCTAGGAAGGAAGAGGAAATAATACTATGCTTTATATACCATGTACAGTTTACAAAATGAAGTCAAGAACTATCTACCTGAGGAATGTGCTTCTCCCTCAACCAAACAGCAAACAAAAATAAAAGATGGGGGCAGGCCCCATGGCCTACTGGTTAAGTTCGGCATGCACTGCTTTGGTGGCCTGGGTTCGGTTCCTGGGCGCGGACCTACACCACTCGTCAGTGGCCACGCTATGGCAGCAACCCACATACAAAATAGAGGAAGACTGGCACAGACGTTAGCTCTGGGCGAATCTTCCTCAAGCACAAAGAGGAAGATTGGCAAACAGATATTAGCTCAGGACGAATCTGCCAGGAAAGGACACAGCTCAGCTGCTCAGGAAGAGAAGGATTTGATAGGCGACAACCACCTGCCATTTCAGAAAAGGTCAGGTCAGCCACAGGGTCAGGCAAGCGGGAGGCGAGGTGAGGGTCCAGGTTCTAGAGGGAGCAGACAGCTCAAACAAGCCAGGTGCTGTAAGGCGACCTCCTGCAGGTTTCAACACAAAGCTCAAAACACAGTGCTCTAAGCCAGAGATATAATGGAACCACGGTCAAAAGTAACAGTTGTGAAAATGAATTCAATTTATTCAGCAAACACTTATCAAAAGCTGACTCCACCAGGCACTATCCTAGGATAGGAGTTCTATTTTTTTTTAAATTTATACAATGCAAACAATAAACAGCATATACTTCTCTACGCATGTCTTTCCTTATTAATTTTAAGGGAAAGAATAGAGATATTTAATACGAATTACCTTGCCATATACCATTACAATTTGCAGTGCATCTTTTTTCTGTAAACTGCAGTTTGTCCCACCCCTCATCCAGACACTAAAACAAATGTGAGTGCTACCGTCCTTCCCAAATATTTTTGAAGAGTACACATCACATTAGCTTTATCACACACACCACAGACCTCTAGCATTTATATTCACAATTCTTTTCTAAACGGAGTATTTCATTTAGAAGGAAACCAAGGGAATGCTGAAGAATTTCCTACCTCCTCTGAAAATTGTTTTCTTTTCCATAGGCTTATCCCAAGCACGTCAGAATGTATTGTAGATGAAAGATGGTTGGGTGCATATAGAAAATTTTTTGAGAGGTTTGGTCGCCAGACACACATACACTTATAAACTCTTTTTGGACTCCTTTATCTCAATTTCACCTACAAATTTTTTTAAGTTTAAAACTGCAGAAACAGTGGAGAAGCGGAGGGAACATATTTCTTAAAGAACGCTTGAGAAGTACTTAATTAATGTGTCCAAAAACATGAAACAGTCGCTAAGAAATTTTTAGTTAACATCATACATGACATCTCAACAACAAAACACCTGGCAGTCAGATAACTAGAGTAAAAATCCAGACTGCCCCATTTCAGAACAGACACTTTTGCTTCATGTTTCTACTATTTGTAGAAATAGTAAAAAATTCTAAGCCTAAGATAGTATTTCCAGTGAGACCACTAACTCCACTACTCATCTTTAAGGAGACGTAATTAAGCACACAGAGCCCAATAAAGTCCAAATTTACCACTCACTTCCTGCACCCCGTGGACAAGACCTGGAGAGGTGTCATCCTTCCTTTACCCTACCTCACCTATCCGGTAATTAAGCTGAATAGCTACTTATACTGTCTGGACCTCTTTTGTTGTGTGTGCTCTCATACAAGGAACCATCAAAACAAACGTGGAATTTAGCTTCACTTTATAGCACTATTGTGACTATTGTGCCTAACGGAGAATCAAACCTAAGTATACAGCCCACACATCACAACCCTAAGTACACTGTGAACAATGATATTAACCTCACGGTAAAAACATGATTCTTAGCAAATGGCAGCGAAAGAATTGTAGATAAATTGTTAATGAGGAGTTAAAAACTCAAAGCTTGCAAGCTTCAATCTAAAAAATATTATGTAAGTTTCTTTAAAAAAAAAATTGGTTAAGATGAAGTTAACGTGTAAACTTCAATTCAAATTCTCCCACTACAATATAAGTTCTACAACAGTAAGAACCTTATTTTCCACTGTTTGCCCAGTTCCTAGAACTGTGTCTAGCACATAGTAGAGGCTCCAAATAAATTTGCTGAATGAAGAGATGGATGAATGGCCTCCCCTTCTGACCTCCCCCACTTCCTTTGCTCCATACACATGTTAACCACCCTTTAAGGCCAGGGTCAAATTCTATTATCTTTATGAAAATTACCTCCCTGAATCCTCTAATCTCTCAGCTCCTTTAGACTATGAGTTTGGCCCTTCCCAGCTACCTAGTAATTGTTTATCTTTGCATATGCACATACCTCCCTTAAAATTCTTATAAGCATTCTCTCCATATGAAGAGCACAGACCCACGTCCCCAGCTTTTGGTATCCACCTCGGTACACGTAAATAGTGTACCATTAATAAATGTTTTGCTTGATTGATTTATATCTGTAGTTAATCCAGAAATCAATTTAGTTAAGTTTTAACTTTTTATAATCTATCCCTCCCTTTCCAATAACTCAACTGAATGTGCAATGAGTCCCCCCTCTATTTTAAATTTACTGCTGGCAATTTCAAGTTTTATGTTCTCATGTAATTATAACTTATGTTCATAATTTACCCATTCCCCACCCCCAAGATTAAATGTTTTATGTAATAAAAAATCATGTGACTTTTTGGTGATACCTATAATGAAGTATCTAACCTCAGTCAAGGAGGTCGAGTTTCACCACCCTCTTCTTGCTTATGAGGTGTTGGAGGGTATTTTTTCCCTTTATGCCTTTTTCCTTTCATACCAAGATGTATCCCATTTCCTTCTTTACTGATCATACTCCTGGCAAGCTTTTATTTCTTTGTACCTGTCCCTGGTAATCTGCCTTAGATCCTTCTTTTTGAGCCATTCCTGTTTCCTCCAGCCATTTATTTGATTAAATTTCGAACTCCCCTTCTCAGTCTATGTATGAAAATGGCCTCTTTTTAAAGCCTAAGCTTGCTTCGTTAAATCCGGCCAACCTTTATGAACCTCATCCCTTTCTATACTCAACCCTTGATTATCTGGGCTAATGAAATGTACAAAAATATAAGATTACCCACAACCCATGAAAATCAGAAAAATTTGACATCTGGCTTTGGAATGTATCATATGTGGCTTTGGGCAAGATTTACCTTCTTAATTATGTTTTTGCTTAAGCCAACATTAGTAACATTTTCTTTTATGATGGTAGATATCTGTCTCAGTTTTAAATTTTGATAAAGTTAATTAAAAAAAATTAATCAAGTATCAATTGTGGCTTTTCCTATGAGGCCTTTTTAATTAGTTTTTTCAATCTGTTGAACTCTGTCATAAAATCTGGTTTCTGTTTCTCCTGATTTATTTCCTCCCTTTTCTCGGGATTCTGATCCAAAGCAGTTTATCCTATATTCATTTACTTCTTCAATTTAAAGTATCATTTGCTTGCGAACGCAAAGCATTTTAAAAACATTAAAAGTCCAGGGAAATTTTTAGTCCAAATAACACAGGATAGAAAACTCCACTTTTTTTAGGACTCCAGGAAAAGTTGGTTTGTAGGATAAATTACACTAGTAATTCTAGCAAATTATATTTAGTAGGATATTATGATTGGTTGAAAAATAGGAAAACATTAATATTGGACAGCTATCTAAGTCAGTTTCATCAATATATAATCCCATAGGCCAAAAACTCTATGGAATTAAATTCCCAGTACAGGCATTTATAGCAAATAGCATCAAAACAAACTCACACATAAATCCTGGCTCTTCTCCTGACCCCAGCCTAAACTCTGCACCCATCACAGCCAACCCTAACCTGACGTCAGCCTCACTTCCACAAATAGGTTTTAAATGTATAAGAAAAAGGAAAAGAACTAGGTTAACAGGATCTTCTCTTTTGCCCCCTTTTCAGTTACTGCCATTAAAGCTTCTGGGCAAAGAGACCCCTGATCTTCAATTTTACATGACTATTTTTACTGTATAGGTACTCCATTATTTTACATCTGAATGTAGGTTTATAGTGCTTGAACCAACTTTTTTCCATACACTATTCATCATATTACCAACAGAATTAAGGATAAACTCACTTTTAATTTTTCCCCCACGTGGAACTTTGGTAAGTATAAATGATTTTACCTAAAAACCAACTTGTGGGCTGGGTGCTGTTATTTAGTCTAAATTTTTACATAAGATGTTAAATGTTAACCAAATAAAAAAAATCTTAACAGCAACCTTCCACACAGTCCTCAAACTCAGTAAATTCCACTTTATTTTGAAAACTCAAAAAACTTGCACAGTGCCCAGTCACATTTTGACTAAAATACCTACACAAAGCCATAATTCTTAGTTTTTCAATTTACTTCTTCAGGTTGCTGCCTTCACCAAATACAAAACTCTACAAGTCTCAATTAATTACCGCCTCTCAAGCTGTGTATCGCCAACATCCATGATTCTCAAGAAAAAGTAAACAATTTAAAAAGTAACAACTGGTGAGAATTCTTTTTCTTATTTTAAAAATTTACCTTAACTTTAAAAAATCTCTTTTCTTCACGGAGTTGGAAATAGTATAAATCCTCGAGGAAACAGTTGTCACCTATGTGCACTCTCAATCAGCCCCATAAAATGAGTAGCAGAAAGACGCATTTTTCTGACAGTCTTAAGTTCCCCAAATAGCAGTCATAAGGTCTTTCATGGATGGTAAATTTCACACACGCACACCCCGGAAAGAAAGACAAGAAACATACCTGGTCATTTTCTAAACAGGTTTGATAGGTTTGGTTCATTTGTAAGAGCAGAGTATTTACTTATAATCTTTTAACACAGAAGTAGCAGCCAGAGCACTGGGTAAATAAAAACTTCAGAGAGTTTTAAAAACCCTGCATCTTAACTCACTTCCCCCTGGTTCAAGGGGACGGCACAGCAAACCCCACGGCAAATGAGATTATGCAACAGGTTTTTCCTCTCCCCTTTATTCATCCCAGGCTGGTTGGAGGTGTGCTTACTCCCAACAATTTGAGACACCCAGGACTTGAGGATCTTTGCAGCTGACGTCTAATAAACTTTTTCAGGATTTTGCACTATCCATTCATTTTAAGATCTACTTGTATTTTCTCAAATTAATTACCAGGTTTTTTTTAGGAAATAAACTCAGCCTTTCATAAATACTTTCCTCTCTGGTGTTTTATTACATAAAACTACACATGATAAACAGACGCTCGGCTGTCTCCCCGGGCTTTTTTATTTCTCACGTTGTACGGCTAGTGTAAATAAAGAAGTCACTGGCGCACCGGGACCCCCAACACCATGCCTGGCCCCAGCATGCAAACCGAGTTTTTGGTTGGTTGGCTGGTTTGGTTTAAGAAAGCAGCACCGTCACCACCCAGGTGGCCTCGCTGCTTACACCAAAGGCGAATTGGGGATAATGGGAACAGTCAGGCCGGGGCCCCACTTGGCAGGCGTGTTGTGTTAACAGTCGCGCCTGGAAGTGAGCAGCTTCGCCCGCGAAGGGACCGCGTCCGCGGCGGCGGCTCCTCGCGGCGGGAACCGGCCGCTGGGCCCGCTGTCCGCGGCGCGGCC